AAAGTACCAATTCTTTCCACATTTTGTTGTGATCACAATCTAAACTTATAATATTGTTATTCATGTTTTATTAACCCGAAGTACTTAACTGTGAACAAAGTGATATGACTAATTTTTGTGGATATTAATTTTCAAGAAGAATAAAAATATAAAAGAGGAAAAAGAAAAAAAAAAGAAAATTTGGATTACTAAAGTATTTATTACATATTAATATTAACTTAAAAAAAAAAAAAAAAAAAAAGATATAATTTTTTGGAATTAAAGTATTTATTAACTTTACTAATATTTTGAAAGAAGATTCCATGATATACCCAAAATAAGCGGGGGGGGGGGGTTTACGGTTTTTTGTGTATATATGCATATAACTAGTCAGCGAGTCAAAATGACTTATTTCCCTTTATTGTCTACCAATAGAAGATTAACCAATCAGGAGCCGCAGAACACTGTATCCGTCGTGTATAAAGGTGGCCATTTTTGTTTTCCCTACCGGAAGGACCAGAGCCAACTTGTGAGGCGAACATGACAGACGGAAGAACTACGCTCTGCTGCGATATCCATCAAGTAACCTAAAGTACGCTTTCCTACTGTCTCCAAAATATTCACTGCCAACCTCTGGATTCTATGCTCGAGGACGACCGTCATGAAAATGTCTAACAAATCCATGACTGGAGGAAGATGGATTTATGCCTATTCTAAGGGCATTAGTACAAAATCTATGGAAGAGATTTGACTAGAATTTGACCAACAACAATTCCACTTTCTGCAATAATAGCTGTTATGCACCCTATATATATATATATATATATATATTATATATATATATATATATATATATAAAAAAGAATAATTGTGGGAGAATATGATATACATTATATATCAGACTAATGTTAGGCAAAATAATGACAAAGTGGAAAATTTCTGTGTAACTGTTGAAAATCCAAAGAACAATATCTGTCACAGAGAAATTTCCCCACTTTGTTATTATTATAAGAATAATTGTGTAAACACTGCACAATAATGATGTGTAGCAATTGAAGTAGGTTTTATTCCCCCAAAAATGGTTGCAGCAATAAAATATTCAATGAAGTTCAGTGCAAAATAAAATTCAAGTTAAGATGAAAATAATTGCTTACTTCTTCTACTACTCATTAATTTTGAAATAGTAACTCAAAATCTTAAAATAATGTATAACTGATCATCAAAGTTAAGCAACATTAAGTGATTCTTTGTTTTGTTTTACAGCACATCAACCTCAATAGGTCATTTAATGCCAACAAAGTTTTAGAATAAGAAATAAAATAATCATTCCTTGTAGAATAAGTCTGGTATAGGACTAAATGTGCATATAGTTGGAATATCATTGTTCAGTTACTCATATTTTTTAGTACAATTCCACTTCTCTTAGAAAATATAATATCTTGGATGGTTTTGTTTTGTTTGAAAAGGTCTTTCAAATTGTTCTCTTGGTAATGTTTTGCTCAAGCTAGGTCAAAGTCTACAGAGTTCAGCCATTATTTTGTGATCATTTTATTGACAACATTCCTATAATCAGTATGTGGTATTTTCATGTTTGTTATTCTGTCTTTCATTGCTCCTTTTGCTTCCGAGTCTGCCTTGTCCTTTCCATTGTATTTTTGGTTCCATTCTCCAAAAGATGGTTTAATGTTCAGAAGTTTTGTTTTTAGACAGTTGATGAATTCCATTAGTTTTGGATGGTTAAAGATCATTTTATTGATTTTATTTTTCAATGCAGTTAGTGCAAATAAAGTGTCTGAGAAAATTATGAATTTATTGTAAGGGTTACGGAATGAGAAATAACCAAAATGGAGGTTAGAAATGAAATGGTAATCTTTATAACATCAACAAAACACAATATTTTTCTTTTTTTGGTAAACCACTGTTGTGATGAACTATTTAGACACCACTGGTTAAAGTGTCCAACGTTTTTAAAATTTCAATACACAACCATAAAGAATCTCATAAATTATGAATTTAACATAAGGTTTTGTGGTTTTTATGTCAAGTACCAGATTAATAGCAATTGTTTTGGCATTATATATTGAGGCTATGTTTGTAATTCTTTTCTGGTGCTTATTATCTTTTAGGATGACTGCATATCCAACTTTATCTTCATTTTTTGCTCCATCTGTGTGTGTATATATATATATATATATATATATATATATATATATATATATATAAGTTTCGTCTGGGTGTATATTTTTGATATTGAGTATTTTGGTTTGGTAGATGATTGAGTTTGTCTTGGATTTAGGATATCTTGTAAGTTCTCATTATTTTAGGTTGACCGATCATCGATGGGAGTGTAATTGATAGAATTGATCTACGGATCTGTGTTATGTCTATTTGGTTCTCTAGTATAATCTCTTTCATACATAGACTGAACAGCTTGATAGAATTTTCCCTTTGTTAGAAAAGTTCAATGTACTGTGGTTGGAAAATATCATTGTAAGCTGAGTTTAGAGGGAAGGAAGATAGTATTGGAGAGTGATTTTTTTCAAGTCTTATTTTTAGGGATTGTTTACTTCTGTATATAAGCTTTCAACAGGAGAGTTGTTATATGCTATATGGGTTAATCTAAGTCCTTGGTGGTGTATAGTATCTAGTTCTTTCAAGTATGATTTCCTGGCTGCTCCATATCTAAAGCAGCCATAACCCAGCTTTGATCAGATTAGAGAGCAATATAATTTTAATAACATTTCTCTATCTGCTCCACAGTCAGTGTGCACTATGGCTCTGAGTAATTGAATGGTTTTATTACATTTGGACAGTACCTGATATGAGAAATAAAGGTGAGTTTATGGTAAAAAATAATTCCTAAGTATTTATTTTCATCTACAAGTGGAATTTCAGTGTGGTCAAGTTGCAGTACTGGGTCAAGGTGGAGTTTGCATTGGTTGCAAAAGTGGATAAATTTTGTTTTTCCTTTGGAAAATTTTTGGTCCATTCTCTGTGATTCATTTGTTCAACTTATCAAGGCATATTTGGAGCTGTCTTTCTATACAATTCAAATTTCTTGATCTATAGCAAAACAGGAAGTCATCTGCATACAATGCACAATCTGTTCCACTGTTTTTTGACAATGTCATGTATTTTATGTTAAAGAGCATGGCAGATAATATGCTGCCCTAGGACACTCCCATTTCTTGTCTTTTTCCTCAAAGAAAATATCACCCATTTGGACTCTAAATCCTCTATCTTGGAGAAAGTTATTTATAAACACTAATATTCTACCTTCTAGTCCAAGTTTTCTAAGGTCTTTTAGCATGCAATATTTCCACATTTTTTTAGATTGAAAAATACTGCCACTAGATGCTCTTTTTTTTCTTTTTTTAATAGAAGCCTCTCTGATAAATGTTTCTAATCAGTCTAGGTGGTCTATAGAGCTTCTTTGGCTAAAATCCAGATTGATACTCACTGATCAGTTTGTTGGTTCTTAGATACCAGTTCAATTTGGTGTTGATCATTCTCTCTAGTGTTTTGCAGACAATTGGTAAGAGTAATGGGTCAGTAGTTTTTGGCATTCAAATTATCTTTTAAAGTTTTTGGTATTGGTATAACCATGGCTACTTTCCATATTTTAGGAATATTACCACTGATCCATATGTTGTTATAAATTTGTAGTAGGTAATTAATTGATGCCTCAGGTAATTCTTTTAAGAATTGGTAATGTATTTTGTCTGTTCCAACAGCTGTATTTTGGGCCTTGTTGAGGAATTCTTGTAGTTCTCTTTTAGAGAAAGGTTGATTATAGTTTTCAGTATTTTTGCTTTGAAATTTGATTTTTACTTTTTCTGCTTTTGCTTTGAAACTTTTTGGTTTGGTTTTTGGAGGATGAATTTTACGAGAAAGTGTCAGCTAGATGGTTTACTACATCTTTCTAGTCAGTAATCTTCACCTTATTGTGGATAAGATGTTTAGTAGGGGTATTGTTATTTTCCCTGGTTATTTTTTGTATCAATTGACATACCTTTTTTGGTTTAGTGTTACTGTTTATTTTGGTAGCATAATTCTTCCATGCAGTTCTTTTGGATTCTTTAATGATTTTTCTGGCTTTGGCTCTAACATTTTTATAGATCTTGAGATTTTCTCCAGTAGGATTTATTTTAATTTTTTTTTAGTGTTGCTCTGTGTAATCTCACAGATTTCTTGCATTCCTTATTGAACCATAGCTTGTAGTGTTTTGAAGAGTTGGAGCTTTTTGGTATATTTCTTTCAGCTATCTTAAGTAGCATGTTTGTAAAATATAAGATGCCATCCTCATTGTTTTTATTGGTTTCTGGGATTAATTTAGTAAGGAATGAAGTTTTAAATCCTTCCCAATTAGCCCTTTTGAGATTCCAGCCTGGAGTTCTTTCATTTAACTCACCTGATATGTCTTCTAATAGGATTGGAAAGTGATCACTCCCACATGTGCAGTCGTGAATTTTCCAGTTATAATCTAGAAACAGGTTAGGGTCACATATTGTTAAGTCTATTGTAGAATGTGTGCCTGTTTCTGGATGCAGATATGTGCTTGATTTGTTGTTGTACAAGCACAGCTGATATTTATTCAGTATTGAGTCTATTATTTTCCCCTTTTTTCAATTTTCTTGCTTCTCCATATCTCAGTATGGCTGTTAAAGTCCCTCATTATAATGAAGGGTGTTGGCAGTTGTTTTATTAATTTTCTAAGCTCCAATTCTTTGAGTTCTTCATTTGGTGGTATATATAATGAACACACTGTTATAATTTTGTGGAGGGTTGCTGATACTACTAATTATGTTTGGTTTTCAAATTATTATTCTAGGATATGATTGTTTATACTTATTCAATCAACTAAGAAATGTGAAACCTGATGAGAAATTGAAAACTAATTAAGAATATCATCCTGCCTTGCAAAACAAAAAAGTCTTATCTCTGCTTATGAAAAACAAAACAAGAAAATAAATGGATAGTCAAGGCTTATTTGCAAACCAAAAAGATTTATTAGTACTTACCTAATAACTGGACCAAATTAGGATGCTTCATTTCCTTCATGATTGATGCTTCTTCTAAAAAGTCTTTTAATGCCATTGTGTCCTCCTAAATAAAAAAAAAGTAAGAGCTTTGTAAAACTATATATATTTACATGTATAATATTAATTTCAGTATGTATTTACATTTTAGTGAAAAAAAAAATTATCTCAAATCTGACTGATTTAGTAGCTTTGGTTATGGATTGTACTCCAAGAACTTTAATTACCTACATAAAGAGTAAAATATTTTTATGCTTTAGTAGATTCATTGAAAAGAAAATGTTGGATTGATCGTTTTCATTTTCATTTATAATCTAATTGTCTTAAAACAACAAATAACAGTTATATATTTGATGTATATATTTATAATATATATACAACAAATAATCATAAATTTGTAATTATTTCTTGGTTATAAACTGTTTCATTAAAATATTCATAAAATGTCTAGGATCAAGTTCTTTAAGTCTTTACTCTGGAATTTTAGTTTCCTCAATCATTTACAAAAATGTTAGCCGTTTATCACAAGGTATCATAAGCATTTCATAACTTATGCAGTAATGCTTTTACCTTTAAGTGTATTAAAATTATCTTCTAATCTTTTTTTAATTCAAAGATCCCATCACCAACATAATAAACTGAGCCTTATAAGTTGTAAACTGCTTTACCAACCAAACTTCTGCATAGTACATTTTAAACATTTCTTTTAATCAGAAATTACATTTGTCTCAAGAGGTCTATAATGTAATACACATTAGTAATCATTAAAAGAGAATTTAAATCTATACTCAGCTTGTTTTTAACACCTTCCAACCTACATAACTATCACAAAACTGACAAGGCAAATAAAGATACTATAATTTTTTTTCAAAATAAGTTCAAGAGTTCACTCTCTCAGAACACAATGTTATATAGTGAATATAAAAATGCCACTAGGAAATAATGAAATGCTCCAAGAATTCCTTTTTCTATATTTTACAGTGAAAGCTGTATAAAGGAACAATAATTTTAAAATAATGCTCTAGCATATCATTAGCAGACAGATGAAAACAATCATAAATAAAAGGAAAGAAAATCTTTAAAAATATCTAAAAATGAATAAAGTAAAAAAAGGAATTGTTACAAAATAGTGTGGAATAATTTTGATGAATTAAGAACATTTTTAGATCACCCACTTATAAATAAAGCTACAAAAATCAAATTTAATCCTGCTAATTCATCCTTAATATACATTTTTATAAATAAAATACCAGATTAGGATATATACCTTTAATCTAGTGCACTAATAAAGGACTGAATACAGAAAATATTTATTTACTATATGATAAATACAAAACTCTTATTTATGAATTAATTTAATTTCTAATTATAGTAATTTTTATAACAGACTTGTATAAAAACAGGTAGAAATTATCAAAGAACACAGAATAAAATGAAAATGTTAATTTATATAAACTACTCAATTGCTACAATAAAAAAAAATCTCTTAATAAATTTTAGCTTAATTTTTTGTGATTTAACACTGCACGAGGAATACAAAATAGACTTTCAAAAATAAGCAAGTGTTAATCATTTGTAGAACAAAGAAAGTGTGATGGTAAAAAGTACAAATATTTTTTGAATATCATACTAAAGAATAATAATATCACAAGAAATGAATAAAATGTGGTCAAAGGCAAAAATGTGACGAACAAGTGTGAGAGAGTGATGTCCAAGACACACACCCACAAATTTCTTTCCTTGCAAAGGATAGAACATAAAACTGGTGCAATCTAACTACAAATAGGGACACATTCAGCTTACCTCCTGGTATCACCCAAAAGGTGAGAACATACGCATGGCAAAAAAAGAAAAAGCAAAAAGATAACTTAAATCCACTGAACCCAATAATCAACTCAGATGCCTAAATTCATACCAAAAATGAAATACAAAAAAAAAAGCATAGGAAACACAAAGAAAAATTATAATATAAAATGTATTATTAAAAGCAAGCAAATTATTTTAAGTTGCACAATTAAGATTTATTTACCAAGTATGTCTTAAGGTTAAGTTACTGTCATGTGCTATCAATAAAAATTAGAACAACATATCCAGCTAGATACAAATGGCTGAAGCAGTTACTTCCACTTCTATTTTTATTACCCAAAATACAACACTAAGAATATTACCTGAATAGTTTAGGGATGAAAAACAAATCACAATTACCTTACTACATTAACAATGTAAGCTTGATGAATATAAAAATATTTCTGCAAATATAGACAGTTCTTTCTATTGGTTTTTAGGTGGTGTTTTTTTATTTTCCTGAAATATATTATTTGAATACTCTAAATTTTATGTCAAATGCATTTGTACAAGTTTGTACACACACACAAATTACAATTGCTCCTTTCCTAAGTATGTAAGAAGGAACAGGCATTTTCTGTTTAATATAACTTATGACTTTGTAAAGTAAAATCTGATATTTTAAGCTTTAAGGTTTATAAAGAGAAACAAGCATTAGTAAAGACTAACAAGATATATTCACATAATAAAAAAAACTAACAATAAGTTTAGAAATATTTAACATTTTCACAAGCCATGTTGAAACTGATTATCAGGCCTTAAAAAGTTCTTTATATCCAATACAGAATAGTTACCCCTGGTAATGAAAACTAAAAGAACTATCTTGAAAATTTCTACTACTATAAATAATAAGAGAGTAAAATTTATGATTTTAAGAAATTAAAGAATGTTCACAGGGCCAGAACATAACATTTTTTTCCTTCTTTTAATACAAACTGTCTTCAGGATATAGATGATCATGGCTCTCCACAGATTACTTTTCTTTATTATCTGTGAATTGCAGTGACATCCTGGAAATGACAGTGAAATGGAATAGCTTCCTGCTGCATTCTCTACACTTTAAGAGTCAGAGTTTTCCTTCTCTTAGGACTGGTTGCCATACAAGCATAGAGAGACCTGTCTACACTGCTATTTAGCTGCAGAGAGAAGAGATTGATTCATGTCTTTCCTAAGGGCACTAGTGCAGAAGTGAACAAGTCGAGGCCAGATTTTGAGCCCAGTTCACGGATTCCACTTTCTGTACTGATAACTTTTACACTACCCACACATCAAATCTACTAGTAAAGAATAGTTAGTACTCAACTGATGTAATGGAATAATCTGTCACCCCCATGAGTAACAACCTATAAGTATCTGTAAGTCAACGGACTACGGAGTCTAGCTGAGATCTGTTGAGTACGACTCAGACTTACACGAGAACTACCGACCTTCCAATAGTAGCACTCACTACCGGATTGACTTGCGACAACCTTGTGCATAACTGTTACCTTTATTCTTATTGTACTGGTTTTTACAATAAACCTTACTTATTTTATCCACTTATTTTATATATTCCTATTAGCACGGAATATAACATCAACAAATTTATTTTTATAATTCAAGTACTAAACATAGTACAATAGTTATCAAATTGTCATTTTCCCAATGCATTCATCTAAATCTTGAATTCAATACTGGAAATTTCAACTTAATTTTAGGAGTATAAAGTTAGGTAATTCTAAAAAAAAAAAAAAAAAAACATCCTGAATGTATTAACCATAAGATATCTAAAACTCTAACAATGAAAGATCTTATTGTTCCAAATGATTTTCTCTTGTCTTTTCAATATATGTGTATTACTATTATTGCTCCTTACAAGCAAGTGAATTATTCTTGAACTAAAAAACTTGATGTGTCCTGCTTTTTTAAACCTGAAAGATTCATTTACAGGCAGAGTTCAGTTTAGAATTAATAAATGCCATATTAGAGATTGAGCTACAGACTGTGCTGCTCACAACTCTTGTGAATATCAGTTCAAAACACTCCAATTAAGCTAACATGCTTTATCAAGATTTGTTTTATTAGCATTTGATCAAGAAGTTCTTTACTTTTTTTAACTGAGAAACTCGAGGACATCTAAATGGATCCCATTCCCAAGAGCTTCTAGGCAAATTGCTGATGCAGATAGAAGTCAATTTTTGCAGCATTGATCAAGCACAGATAATGCAAATGATGCATTTCAAATGTAGATGAATCCTTTAACAAAATTAGATGCTAAGATTTAAGAAGGTATTGATGTATATAATTTATATGAAACAAATATAATTTACACTAGTCAGGCTCACATGGATTTCAGCATTATGCTTTCCCACTTGATATAGTTTGAAATTACTCAAGTACATGGTATGATGGAAATAGACTAATTCCATGAGTATATTAATGAACAATTTTTATCAGCTGCTAGCCTCTGGAGTTTTGTTGCTTTTTTTTTATGGGTTCATTTTGAGAGTTCAAGAAGGAATTGGCAAAAATGTTGTGTTAACAATAGCAAATACACAGATTTTAGTGTCCAAACAACATCAGAGATTGTATAAAGAAAGAATAATTAGGATGTAAATTTCAGTAACTACTCTAATTACATATGAAGCTTTACAGAGATAAATATTTTTTTAAATGAATTATTGCTGTTTAATCACAGCTTGTTTTACACCAAATGTTTAGGGAACCTTCTCAATCCACAATCTTTAGTATTTTTCAACTTTTAGCAAGTCAACACACCAAAACTGTACTTTTCTTCTTTTTTTTAACTACTTCTCATGCATAACTACTTAAGAATTTAATGAACACCATAAAATTTTCAGAAACCATTTATTTAAATATGAAATGTAAATGATATTCTTTTACCCTTAAACATTTGAATTTTGGAGGTTTTATAAATTGCTCTTTTTAATCAAATTTTTCTCATCTTCATCTGTTAAAAAAATCAATTCCATTTTTTAGTAAGTGATGTTATTTTACCAAGAAAAGCTAAACAAGTCCTATACAGCTGAACTTTACAGACTTGTACATAATCTCAATGTATTTTAATATATTCAGAGTGTGTTCAGTATGGAATAAATTTATGTGTAGCTCATAAGGTGTTAATTTTTTTAATCCTGATAATAATTTGCAATGAGCTGCTGAAACTGTCATAAAATTCTGTTACAGTCTAGTGAAATATATAATGTTTTTATATATGATCTAATTTTTTTTTTTTTTTTTTTTTTTTTTTATTCAAAGATGTCGTAAATACCAAAAATAAATAAAATCATTATAAATATCATTAAAGTCAGTCTTTTATGTACTTCAATGAACTTTTGAACTTCATAATCTATTAAATATCTCTGGGTGAAAAACTTAAATTATTAATAGATAAAAAAATTTTTTTTTTAAATTTATATTTATTTCTTCAAAATAATATCCAAAATGTGTATATTGCAAGCCATTTACAGCAAAATGGATCTTATTTTACAAAATCATGAATCAATTTGTTTTATATATATTTGTTACTAGTGCTTTATTAAGTTTACTTTTTTCTTATAATCTTGAAAATGATAGCTTTAGCAACATACACCATAAATAAAACATTATCTTATTATTTAATCTTTTTATTTATATTAATAAATGAATATTTGTACCATTTTTTTTATCAAATGAATAATACTCTGTATCTGGTGAGTTGGTTATAAGTTTCCAAGATTAAAATATTTATGCTAACAAAATAGTCTATTTTTAATGTTTCATCAGAAAATATCAGTGAAACATCAAAATGATGTTTTTTGCTCCAAAACAGGATGTCTTGCCTAATTTTATGTTTTATTTGCATTTTTGCTCTGAATTTGCTTATTTCAGTTCTATTCACACAATACTTCAGTGTTAAAGTTTTGCCATTTAGATTATAAACTGTATGAATAGGAATCAAAGAAATTATTAGAGGGAGAAAACAAGGTGAATGGTATTGAAATGCTAATCATATCCTGCTAACATAATGAACATAAATGTAACAAAATGTACAAACAAAAAGTAGGTTCTGCAGTTTCTATAACATTATTAAAATACCAAAAAAATGATAAAAAGTTAGTAGTAGACATATAGGAAAATGTAAATTTAGTCAGAGTTTATTTAATATCACCCAATATACTATTTTATCTGTGATTACAAACAAATATAAACAGAAGCTTTATCAAAAGCTGACAAACCCAAAGAGAATCTACTGTTGCAAAAAAATATATTAAAAAACAAATGCTAAACACAGAAATAGTGAACACGAGAAAAAAAAAACTTCCTTCCCTTCTGTAATTGTAAAAATGCTTATAACTATGAACAATTATTTTGTGTGCATGCATAGATTTTCAACACTGCAATGCAAAGCTCCAGAAATCAGGGAAGCAATACCCAAATAACTGAGGAAAAAAAAAAGAAACTTGTTAAAAAATGATTTGCCTTTAAATTAGATTTCTTAATGCTAATTTAAATTCTTCTATTTTTAAACCTGAAATAGTATGCACAAAAGTAAATGTGTTACATACTCATCATTTAAACATCATGATTTTTTTAAAGAAATTCTAATACACACACCAAGATTCATAATATTTTTCATATCATTTTACTAATTTTTTAAAAGTTACTAAAACATGCCTAAAATAGTTATTTTCAAGTACAGAGCCTGGTAAAATCTCTAAGTTAGTTATAAATATATATAAAACATAAAAAAATTGCAAATTGACAGTCTGAGGGGGGAAAGTAGAATGGATACTTAAATGTAGGTTCTTTGTGCCCAACTTCAAGACTATCAATAGAGATTAAGTCAGCAATGTAAATTTGGTTATTCTTTTGATAGGTGAATACTTTCGAAGAATGAAAGGAAAGAACATAATGTCTACATGATTTCACCCAGACTCAGCAAAGAGGAAATGGCTAAGAATTTGGGAATTAGAATCCTGTTGCTAGGCAGCTACAACAGTCCCTAGATTTGGTAAAAATGAAGATTTCAGTATTCTCTTAGATCTGTCTGCCAGGGAAAAAAAAAATTCAGTCAGTCATCAGGTGGAATGCAAGGAAGTAGATAGGTAGATAGCAGACAAATAGTGCGAGGTGTTAACCAGCTGACTATACTTTCTACTAATTCTTGCTACAGTAAAAAAAAATATCACTAATAACAAGGTAAGCAGAATTTGCTTTGTTAGTTGAAAATAGATCAGATCTCCTAGGATAACAAAAATCTGAATGAATATGTAAGAGGTTTTCTGGAAACCAACATTGAACAGGCATCATTTACTTTTGTACTGGTAAATTTAAACATGTTCTTCATTTTTTAATCTATAAATTAATACAATACTTCTACTTGCTTGTATCTTTGAAATTACAATTAAAAGATATAGCTAATAAAATTTGATTCATGAAATGCAGTTGGCTGAATTCTCATATTAAAGTAGCCTATCTTTAAATGTATTGTCTGTAAATTTGAGAAGAATCCTTAACATATCCAACTTCATTTGGACCCTTAAATCTCTCTAAAGTTTACAAAGAAAAGATTCAACTGTTCAATGTTGCCTATAACTTAACTTTAAACCTCTGAATGTGTTTTTAAATTAATCTTTAAAACTAACATTAAAAAATACTTTGGCCAAAACATTTTAAAATCAAAAACTTATATTCTATTCATTATTTTTTAGGATTATTCAAATACATTATAAATGCATCATCTGAATTAAGGAGTACATGATTTTGAAAATATGTATCAACTAAATTTGGCTAGTTTATTTAATGAGAGGATATTAAAAATTTTAAAAAAAATGCCTATTTTCAAACTTTAAAGAAAAAGTAACTAGTGATAAAATATTAACTCCAAGGTGCAAAGAAAAAAATTAAGGGATTAAAATAAAATAAAATAAATGCATTAATATTTGAAAGGAAGGCAATGTACAAAATGGAAAGGGTTTTTTTAACCTTTAGCACACTGCATCATTAATAATACTTCCTTTTCCACTATGTTTCTTTTTCAAGGCCTATTATTTGCAGTATCCTTATTGTTAATTTCACTCAAACTTGTTTTCTGTTGCCATAACAGGATATGACAACACAACTATGAATTCAAACACACTATTGTTCAGGGATCAGAGTTAACTTCAATGGTAGGATAACCTTTTTGTACAGCAAATGAAGTCACAGAGTGATAAAGGTTAAAGATCCTTATCCAGCCTATCACTTTACACATGTAAAATTCAAAAGGATATTTTGTTTGGAGATTATATAAACAAAACCAATTTGAATACATTTTTTTTTAACTTTCAAACTCCAATGAATATAGACTCCATAAATAGTACTGAAATTGATTAAACCAACAGCTTTTTTTTTTTCTTTTTCAAATTTCCTGTATTTCTAAAATAGTTATTTGTTTGTTTAGTGGAATTTGACAATAAGTTCTGAGCTAATCTGTTCTTTCTTCTTCTCTCTCACTATATAAAGTGATGCTCTCTTTAGGCACTGATAATAACAGTCGACAAAAAGTATTTTTAAAATGATTCAAACATTTTAAAACATACTATTAATCAGGTGAGTTAAATGAATAAAGCATCTTGTCATGGCTTATGCTTCTTTTATTATTCTGCCAAACTCACTATCTTCTCTAAAATCTTATTAACCTCAGCACCAAAAGCTTATTAAAAAAAAATCCTTACAGTTTCATTCTGAGCATCTTCTCTAGGTTGTGACTATAGAATTATAGTTGCATAATAATAATAATGTTTATTGCACATTTTATATGTAAAGAGACGTAGGAGAGTGGAACTGTATGCATAATTAATTCAGCATTTATTTCATATTTTATTTCTTTTTGTTTTTATCCAAATTTGCCAAGCGGCTTTTTATACAAACTTACTTTCCACTAATCCCCATTTACTCAATAAATTTTATTAAATATTTTTCATTACATTATACATTTACATCTTATGTTAAATGCTAGCTGTCTAAAAAAGATTTTATGAAATTTTATGTAAATTTCATTTTACATATAACTGAAGCTATTACTACCAGTCAAATAATCTAACCTACTGGACTACTGCATCAAAGATATAAATATTATAATGATGACGATTGTTGAATAGTTGCACAACTTTATTACTGAATCAATAGAATGTCTGTGGATGTTGGTGATATTTTTCAGTTGATGCCCTTGCCTGTATTTTCTTGTGAGTATGCATGCAATTTAGTTTGGTCTCCTTTGATCAATAGGGAAATTATGAAAATAAGCAGACTGTCTCTAATCAGCTTAAAGCAAACATCAACAGTATTGAAAGGAGCAAAGAAACAAATTGTTCTCATTTTCTTAGAGGCCAGAACATTATCTCCAAAAAATTAAACTCTTTATTTGCAATTATGACACAATAATAAAATAGTATTTGCAATATAAATTTGTATATAAACTTAAGATCACCATTTGCAGAGAGTGTCCTACCAATTAGATTTTTATAATATTGCCCCCACTATATCTGGGACTTCTTAGTTTTAATGAAATTTTCAATATTCTCCTAATTTTTCTCTTCAGAAATGCAGTTTTTAAATTTTATGGTCAAAACACAATTTTTTTTTTGGTTTTTATTTATCCCAAAATGTGTTACACTTAACCAGTAGAAAACAAACAGAAATTGCTTAAACTCAACAATGTCTGTAGATAATCATAGTTTTATAAAATGAAATGCTTCAAAATGATACTGCCAAAATAACAGCCTTACAAAAACATGACAGTTTAGAAAAAAAAAAAAACTATATAAGAAAAACTGCACAACTATCACAAATTTATATAAAAAAGAAAAAAGCATTAAAACAAAGCAAATAGTATTAAAATCTCAAATAACTTACCTTCAGAGTTTTTACAGCGACTGTTTTGTTATACGTTTTCCATACTGCTTCATAAACATCACCATATTGACCACCACCTGAAAAAAGAAACAACACATCAGTATAGCAAGAAAATATAAAAATGAACCTTTGATAGGTTTAAATTATTTTTGTATGAATAATACTTTTTGGTGAATATTTCATGTTATCATTCAAAATCTATATCCTGGATTTTAATATTAAAATGTACACTAATATTTGGTGAAATGCAGCTATGAAATGGTAAAATGAAATAACTTGTAAGAACAAAAATGTTTATCTCATTTTGTTATTTAATGACCAACCAGGATAACAGGTTATCAATTCAAAGGAAAGTAAATCATTAAAATCAATATTCAAAAATATTTCATAAAAAATGTTATAGAACAAATAGTAGCATCTTATTTTCTCCTTATAAAAAATAAATAATATATATTATAATTTCAGTTACGCATAAACAATGAGGTTCTTAACAAATATTGCCAATTAAATATTGTTTAAATACATTATGTAATACTTTACTTATACATACAATAGCCATGTAAAAATTTGAATGGATACTTTTCTTGCTCAAAGCTGAGCAATTAGGGATTGTGTATAAATCTTTACCTTTTCTATACAGATAGAAAATTCCCATGGTTTTCAAACTGGCAACTGATTTGCTTAAAGTCAGCAGAGATGCCCATTTATTTTAAATTATTCTCTGATGTCTTTAATTTATATATGAAAAAAAATGTTGTTATAAAATAATTATTACATAAAAAAAATAACCTTAAAATAAACTAATGAAGTGTTCCATATTTCTTAACATGAATTTGAATAAATCCTATCCAGTTTTGCTGGCCATCCTGAAAGACATTACAAAATTGTAATTTCTTTATCATAGAAAAATTTGGACAATTTTCTACAATTTTTTTTTAATCAATTCACCCCAAGAATGGTGATAATGCCACTAAGAAACAAGCGGCTACTGTGAGTGTAAGAAAATGAGAAAGCTTTAGAAGCAAGTAGAAATCCAATCCTAAACAAGAAACAAAGGTTAAACCTCTTAACCTCCGTTTAAAAGAACAAGGACTAATTCTTTTTAAAAGAATTTTTCATCCAACACTATTTCTTATTATAAATGTCATTTGTAATGGGTACACATGTTTTAGTTGCTATCTCCGATTTTTATTCTATTAAACAGTGAAATTAATCAAATAATAAGTAAATTAATTAATATAGTAATAAGAAACAATGTCAGATAAAAATGCTTTAAAAAACACAGATTAATACTAGATAGATATTATTGACAGTTAAAAAGTTCTGCTCTTAAACCCTGTTTTTCTTTTAAAATATTTCAATGAAAAGCTGCTATGGAGATTAAAGCCTTATGTCCAATGCTAAAAAAATATAACCAAAAGAGTTGTTAACTGAAGGTTAGGTTTTCCACCTATTGAAGATGTTATGGGCATTAAATCAAACAATGTAGTGCTCTAAGAACAAGTGACTATACAATATAATGTTCTAATACTCAGACCAAAATAAGAATGTGTAACAAGGCAAATAAGAGATTAATTGCAAATTGGCAGAATTAATGATGTGGAGGCCTCTAACAATAAGATAGAAGTCTAAGTGACAAGAGATATAATTAACCAGGTTATCACAACAGAAGTAAGTATCTTCTCTCTTTACAACCAACATTTATATTCCACTCATAACCAAACTAGACAACAAAGCAGCAGCAGGCTGTGCAGACATATCGAGGAAATAATTTTCCTTGGTCCACTGAACATGCATCCTAACAAGCTGCTTACAAACATCATTTTAACAACTCTCTGTAGATTGGAATATAACATAAGACCATCATAGTTAAGACTGGTACTCATTTTATCACTCAAGCAATGAAAACCCCTATTAGTTGCACTATTGTAATTATATTTAATATCTAAGGTACATGAATAATGGTACATAAACACAAATTTCATATACACATGTAAATTCAAAGATATATGTATATAATTATGCAAAACACATTATCAATACAAATACACATGCATACCGACTTTACACACATTTACTTACAAATAGATAAGTTTTTAAATATACATACATCTAAATATTCATAGTTTAGTGACTCTATATAAAGTCACAATACATATTACATACAAAAAGACAAACATCCATTTATTATGTACATTTGTGTGTCCACATACATCAACCAACATATAGGGATTTTAAAGAAATATATTACATACATTTCTTGCTATATATATTCTACAGAATTACTTCTGTAGAATATATATAACAGAAGATCAATAGCAGAACAATGTGGCTAGATTTAGGAAGCATCCAAAGAATTGCAGAATACAAGTCATGTACTTCAAAGCAAATATACTGCTATTTCTGGTAAAGCACTGTACTAAGAAGAAAAAAAATCAACTAGTAATAGATATTAATAGTAAAATTACATAAATAGAAAACTGCTATAGACTTGTTACACATGTTCATGTAGTGCATATGCCCTTTTATATAAAAGCTTCCCCACTGACCCCATGAAAAAGTTAAGAGAAGTAAAGAAAGGGCAAGAGAAACCTGAAGAACATAGGTTTTCTAAAGAAGTTGAATATCTGGCTACAAGCCAGTTTCACAGAGAGATTTATTTTAAGTAAAAACCATGGATGTCAGTGATTCACTGAAAGATATAATCATAAATACTTAATTGAAATTTGTGGCTTAGACATTTAAGGCAGAGTTAGATTATGTCACACTTCTTGATGAGAAAGAGGAAAATACCTTGAAGGATGAAATATAGCCATCAATATCCACAAGACAGTAACAACAAATAAATCTGGAATGAAAACTGCACATAAATTTCATTTAATACTTACCCAAAATGAATGAAGCTAGTCAAAATGTGTGTGTATGTGTGTGTGTGTGTGTTTTAGTGAAAAATGACACTGAAGATAAAGCTTTCTGAATTTGTTGATAACAGTGTTTCAAGTGTAAGACCAATGATATAAAGCAGTTGAAAGTTGGAGGGATATGTTTTAAAATTACTTAAGGGCAACCATTGTTATTTGATGATAATACATATCTCAAAAGAGAGATAGAAGCACTAATCAATTTTAATTTATTTTATACAGAATGCTCCAAACTCTCAGCTATCCTTCATTTAACAATCAAAAGTAGCAATGCCAAGACATATCAAAGCTCTAAGAGATATCAGTTCTTATTGTATCTTTCATTCCAAATGTGTGTTCATTTGGTATTGCACATACTGCTTACTTTAGATAATCAAGAAAAAACTAGTTTTTACAATAAGCTTAGACTATAAAAAGATTCATTTTGACAGTTATTTTACTGGCTAACCAAAAGAATTTGTGACATGCTATTATAAAAAAAAATGAACTTTGGAGAAACTTTTGGTAAATTATTTTATAGTGTCAAAGAGAATAATCCTATTTCATCCCTTTTACTAGTCCAAAATGAAAATTAAAAACAAAATAGCCAAAAAGAGAAATATATTAAATCATTGAGATTTAAACAGACTCGTACCATGTTAAAGGAAATCTTATGGCTATTAAATTTTCTCCTTATAGGAAAGTAATGGGCACTTTAACTTAATATTTATGTATATCTTATAGTGTTAAAAATAGGCAATTCTACCAAGAAAAATGAAAATTGTGACAGTCATCATCTATGAAATTAAAAGGCAAAATTAAAGAAAAATTCACTGCTTTTGAGTTTTTTTTTTCTTGCAAGAGAAAGAATAAACTGAAAAACAATAGCATTAACTAAAAAGGTTATGTCCAGAGGAACACAACTATCAAAGTTTAAAAAAAGTATACAAAAATTCTGAGTTTTGGCCACTTCATTAAATTGAGTGCAGAGATAGAAGGCTCAAACTTGAAACACTTATACTAAGCAATCTTTCTTTAAAGACTATTGACAAAAAAAAAATTAATCTTTAGCTTGAGTGATGGAAAGATCAACAAAGTCAGAGACAATTGAAGTTCAAGGCTACCTGTAAGGCAAACAAGGAAATAAAGAGACACTTGAATTTTCATAAAGCACTGTTTCTCTAAGATACTGTCTTAGAACAGAATCAGTAATACTGGCAGTATGAAAGTAAAATCTAACAAAACAATAGCACCAGAAATTTGGGTATGAACTGGATGATTTGAGATGAAAGAGGTAAGGTAAATGAAATCCAATATGAATGACAAACTTTCAACTATTTAAAATGTTAAGATGTCAGCTTACCTAGCCTGTGTTTCATGGCTATCTCTGTTCTTTCTACTTCCCACTTGTCTGGCTCTGGACTAAAGCCAAACACTGTGGGCTTGTTTCTTTTAGGGGCTGGGTAGAGGAGAGTGGTAACCAGGCCATCTGCATGAATGGAGTGATGGTGAACAAGTTCAGCTAAAGTGTTGAACCGGTGGTCTGCCGTTACATAAACCTGGAAAGTAGAATTTAAGAATATGTATATAACTAAAACAAAACTCAAGTCATTTTATCAAACATATACAAAATTTGTAATGGTACTAATTTTCATAACAATAGTGATGTTGCATCTTACTAATTATATGCTTAATTTAGTCTTCAAGATAGTTTAAAGCTATGAGGGTATAAAAGTATACAAACATGAAAATATTTAACCATTTCAAATATTAAATTTTATTCCTTTTAAATACAGAGTAATAAACCTGAACATTCAGTTTCATGATCAAAGTAAGTTTCACAATTAGTAAAGGAAAAAATATATATATATATATATATATATATATATATATATATATATATATATATATAGCTTGTTACTTTATAATTTCAAAGATGTATTTACTTTTTAAATTCTATAATACTTTGTTCCCTGCCCAATAATTAAATAAAGTTTTTAATTAAAAGTACAGCATTGGTCTATATCAATGATGCGATGATCTTTTGCTGAAAATAATGTGAAATGAAAATGCTCAGAGGAAAAAATTTTTTTTGAAAAAATTAAAAATAAAAGAGAAAATTAACTCTATTTAGCCATGGTTAATGTCAAACGGAATTCAATGCCAAACAGAAAATCTGAGAAAGTCAAAGATTAAATGTGTAATATTCTACTGTGTTTAACAAATGTAGCTAAACAACCTTAAAGATAAAATGCAAGAAAAATCAATTTACAGCAATTATTGGATAAGTAATAAGTAATAATAGAATATAATAAAAATTTATATTTAACTCCAACCCAAAACAATAACAAAACCATAAAAGAATGTTCACAATATATTACACAGTATTTATGAAAAGAGTTACCTGAAATAGCACACTTTTATTGCAAATTATTCTATACTGTTAAATGCATACTCTACTAGTAATGTGTATTTTACAAAAATATATAAAGTTTTTATGGTAATCTCTTTCCTAAATTTTTATAATTGTTTCAAGGTTTAGGAAGTAGAGAAATCCCATGTGAAAGCTTCTACTTTTTATGAAATCAATATGGTCAACCTATTCTAAGAAATGACAAATCCCACCATAAACTGAAGAGTTACAAAACAGTGCACTGAAATATTCAAGACAAAAATGAAAAAACAGGGAAAAAATCCTTAAATAAGAAAATGTTGCTTATATGAATTATTACATTAAAGTATTAGCATGAATATTAAAATAAAATAAAAATCTAAATTTCTCAAGTATAAACTGTGCTTAACAATAATGAAATAAAAACAAAGACTAATTAAATCAATTTTGTTAAATCAGCTGTATTGTTATATAAATACATTTGTTAGTCTCTTTGTTTTTAATACTTGCATAAGCTATTAATCACAGCAAGAAGTTGTAAAAATAATTTATAAGTTTGTCAATTCAAGTACCTACTGATGCCTGGATCATTCTTGGAATAATCAACCATGCCCTAATGTTTTAATTGTTAATAATTTGTATTGTTTTTAACAAATATTGTAATTTCAATAAAATTTCAACCATACCATTAAACATCATTTTGAAGTTTATTTAGAGTTTACAATGCACATTTCCCACTCAAACAATTTTTCAGTAGAGGGTTTTATACTGAAATGCATATTAAATTGTGATATGCATTTATATTACTTTGCAAGGTTCTTTTTTTACAGGAAAAGCTACACAAAAATGTTTGTGTAAAATTATATGAAAGAGATTACACACATTAAAAAGTACCTGACAATCCAATGATTGAAAAGGCAAATACAGAAAAGTTTGTTTTGTACACACATGCACGTCTTCATAAAAATTCATTATCAAATTGTAAAAGAAAAAACTTTAAAATCCATGGCATTTCTTCAAATATTTTTGTCATTATTTTTATGTTTCTATTATCTGTTAAATTTTCAATAACGACTTCATTGATATGAAATTATTTTATAGATAACTTAAAAACAATATCACTGACAACTAAGTATTACAGAATTTACATAATATACAGGTTAAGTCTTAAGAAAAAAAAAAAAAAAAAAAAGAGATGTTAAATCAGTCTTAAAATTAAAGAGTATTAGTGGTAGAATTTTACAAGTAAATCTAAAAAAAAGAATTTGTAAATAACAAGTACATGTGATATACATTTAAATGTGCAATATAGACCACATCTTTTAAACTACAAATAAATAGAATTTTCTCACTCAACTATTTCATCTATTTCAACCCAAAAGAGCAAATCTTCCTCTTCTTCTATGTGTCATACCCCATCAGGACATTGGTAAACATGGCTTTCCACAATTTCCTGCACTTTTTAGGTCTTAATAAATTTTGTCTTTTTCTTATCACTCTTAAACCTTGTTCTACCATCCATTTACTTAACCTCACTAGGTAGATATAGTTTTCCTATGTCCTTCCTACCTTCAATATGCCCTGTGAGTATCAAATTTTTCAAGCCCTCTTTTCTCATTATGTGCACTAGAAATTTCAACTATCTCTTTCTGATATTAAGTTTCATTTTTGCTTCCATTTTGAAAACTTTGTCATTGCTTATATGTTCAGTCCATGGTATTCTCAGCATCCTTTTGTAGAACCACATTTCTATTGCTACTCTCTTCTTCATCCATGAGGAGATTGTCCAGTATTCACTGCCATATAGGAGGATGAATATTATGTAACAGTTCAGTATGCTTTTCTTTGCTTCTGATGAAATTTTTCTGTTTCTTAGCACTTTGCTTAGTTTTTAGAAGCCATCTTTCACCATCTAAATGCAACTTCAGATTTCAGTGTCATCCATTCATCTTCTGTTAAAACACTTCTAAGATATTTAAATTGTTGTACTTGCTTGATTCTAGTATCTCCAATTTGTAATTTGCATGTTGGTCTGTTCTTTTTTTTTCTAACAACCATGCACTATTTTCTTATAATTGATGCTTAGTCCTTTCTTCTTGCTTTTCTTCACTAACTTCTGTAGTTCTTTCTGTATCTATCAACACTATCATATCTTATGTTTTTAAGATTGTGTTTGCTAATAATGAATCCTGGGAAGACTTCTAATCCTCTCAAAATTGCCTCACTGTATAGGTTGAATGCCCAATGAGAAAACACATCCTTGTCTTACACCCCTTTCTATTTATGTATATTTACTGAATTCATTTTCTATCAATATGTAAACAGTTTCCTGCCAGTATCCTAAAATCCTTTCCAAATATGTCAAAGTTATCTAGGAATTCCAACAGTTCTTTCTGACTCTGTTTTTACAAGGTCTACAGGGAATTTTCGACCTTGTGCCACATCTTGCTGCATGGGGCAGTGTTAAATACTTACTTTATCAAATACTTTTGCATCTATAAAACAGATATACAAGAGCAGATATAGTTTTCCTAAATAAAAAGAAAATTTGACTAATAACTAATTTTACCATCACAGAGTAAAATTGAAAAAAAAAAAAAAAGCTAGATAAACATCTCAAATTTGCAAAAGAACTGAAAATTTGATAAACATTAAGGTAACAGTTGCATTCATCATTGTTAGAGTGCTTAGAACAGTCCTAAAAAACTTAAAATAGAAATCTGAGAGAGAACCAAGACCATCCTTTACTATAAACAGCTAGAATACTAACAAGAATGATGGAGTAATTAGGAATCTTGCTACTAGGTAATCTCCAGTGTAAATCACCAGATGGAGAGAGCAAGAAGTGATGGTGGTATGATGATTGAGGAAGAAGAAATGACATTAAAATATTTCAGCAGTTGGGGCATTGTACTGGAGAACATAGGGTACAAATTTCAATTTCAGGTGCTTCATAAGTAGCACCTTAAGCTAAGCCAACTCAACAAACTTTATCTCCCCCCACCCAACCTCCACTTTTATAACATCCAGTTGTGCAAATAACTAAAAAATCCTTAGATATTTGTAGTGCATTAAAAATGTATCCCATATCTCATAAATGGAATTGTTAAAGGTTTGTTGATTCAGATTTTATACCCATTTTTTTCTCTTTTGAGATAATAATCTTTTAAGTGGTGTATCATTTTAGGTGTAATAGCTTGGAGTAAAATTTTCAAAGCTTACTAGATCTCACAAGTTTGGCAAAAGGTAGTATGTTATACATAAACTAAATAATAAAAAAAAGTTTTCATAATTATAAATCACCTTCCAGCTGAGTTGATTATTCATCATAAAGTATATTCATTTCATTTACAAACAAATGGCACTCATTTCCTTTATATTCTATATTTTTGTTATAAAAGTGATTTTCTATGTGATGCAAAATAAGTTATTTTTCTTTATTAATTCTTTACAGATGAATAATACAAAAAGAACAAGAAACTGAATCACTGACAGTCACTTTAAATTCAGTTTCAATCACACTAGTTCAAAATTATTGTAGAATTATAAAAAAGCAATTTGCTAAATCTAATTTAAACACTTTACTAAATATTTATTTTTTGCTTATTAATAAAATTGCTCAAATCAAGGCTTAATACATTAAATGCCTCTGCTATCATTGCAATAAAAGCATGTGTGATGAGGAACACTCCAAGTTAATCTCTGCTAACTCCGCCCTAACAAGTATTTTGTCATCTTAGTCATCTTTTTTTGTACTTGATTAGAGATGTCATCTTCCCCCAAAAAATCTTTCCTTCTTCTATAAATAATATTAAGAAATCTAACAATGTTATCCATTACATTAAACTAATTCAATCATATTTTCCCTTCATTTGTCTAGCCAAATAATTTATAAAGACATGATTTTTTTGCAATTAAAAAATGAAAAATTTATTTGTGCAGACTGTTTTTTATCACTTAAATGAAAATTTATTATGCACCAGACTACAGAACCAAAAACGTGAGTGATTTGTTACTTGTTGTAAATAGAAAGCAAAAATAAAAATTCCTTATTTGATATTACCACCAATAATAAACTGATCAGAAATATAATAAATATAAAATATACACAAAATGCATCAATGAATAACATTTTCAGCCTGAATAAATAAGTTTTGTCAGTAAGTT